GTATATATATATATAATTGTGTAATTTACACATGTACAATGTATATTGATTATATTCATTTCCTGGTACTCCCATAACAAAGGATTACAAAGTTGTTGGCGCAAACAACAGAAATTTATTGTCACACAGTTCTGGAGACTGGTAGTATGAATTCAGGGTGTTGACAAGAGCATGTTCTTTCCCTTCTTGTCTCTTCCAGCTGATTGGAGCACAAGTAATTTCTGGGCATTCCTTGACTTGTGGTACATCTTCACATGGCCATATTCTCCCTCTGTGACTCTGTCTCTTCTTTTTTATAAGGACAGCACTCAGATGGAATTAGGACCCACCCTATTCCTATATGTGTGTGGCAATGTAGGATATGCACTGAACTACTAAGGTTGGTGGTTCAAACCTGTATGACCCATGTTAACTAATAGCATCCTCAAACTAGGTCATGTTCACAGATGTTGAAGGTTAGGACTTGAATTTATTGTTTGAGGTGACACAATTCAAGCCATAACATCAATTATATCTTAATAGGGTTGTTAAAAATTAAATTAATTTTTAAATGCCTTAAAGACTTTATTTGTGTCAATGAACTGGACCTTCTATAACCCTGACATTATTGTTGTTTTAACAAGCATCCAGATAATGTAATGCACATTTATAAAACACTTTCATAAAATGTGGGCAGCAGGATTTACAATAATCCAGGTATGAAGTAAACCTGAGTGCTGGCCAAGGGAAGCAGTCTATTAAGGGAAGTCTGAGAGGTCTAGAAAGAGGATGGGGAATCCTATCTTAAAGGTATGAGAGAAAAGAATCCATGATAATAAACTCCCAAAAAACACCAAGAAAAGCTATGCTTTAGTGATATGGGGAATTTCATCTTCCTTTTTCTACTTAATATTTGGCGTGTGCTACATTAAACTCCAAAGGTATTTCTACCCTGTATGTATTCTTACAGTGCCTGATACATATGCGTCGTTCACATCGTTATCTAATTCTATGAATGGATTGTTTTTTTCTTAAAGTATTCTTCTGGGGACCTGGTGTGATGCTGCTATAGGATAAACACTGTACTGCTAATTGCAATGTGGTAGGTTCAAACCCACCAGCTGCTCCTCAGAAACTCTATACAGGGTCACTATGAGTGGAACCTGACTCAATAGCACACAACAATAACATGGGACCTCCTATGACTAGTTGTCTCCCTTGCATTCTCTAACTTCAGATTGTACCTATGCCATGTAGATTTAACCAATAAAGGACCAAGGAAAGAGTCAAACAATAGTTAATGAGTTGCACTGTGGATTAGGTATTGGGCTGCTGAGTGCAAGGTCAATGATTCAAATCCACCAGTGGTTCTGTGGGAGAAATATGAAACTGCTTCCATACAGATTTATAATCTCAGAAAACCTACCTACATAGGGTTGCTATGAGTCAGAATTGATTTGATGGCAGTGGGTTTTTTGGTTTTGATTTACTTTATAACATTGATCTTTAAACAATATTGCACAATTTTTAAAAATACACACTTTCATTCTGTGTATTTCAGTTTGGTCACATAAGGTATTTCCTTTCAGTAAGAATACTTTTACTTTCTTGTCCTTGCATTTTTATACTTTTTCAACTGATAGGTCATAGTGGCTGTGGCCACTTTACAGCAGTCCTTGTTCAGTTGTCAGCATATTTGGAGTTGGGCAGATATCACTGCTTCCTCCAAGTCACCTTATTATCCTGACTTTTTATTTGGATAAATTAAAAGGAAGGAAATAAAGTGTGGCTTCTAAGTCCCAAGTCATAATATCCCCATTTTCAAGGCCCAACTGAATGAGAAGGTCCTGTTCCAAGCTCTGCCATAGATTCTCTTTCATGAATGGCACAGTAGATGAAAGCATCTGCCCCTGTGTTTTGGTCTATGGTAAGCACTGAACTGATATAATTGAAGCTGGTCTTTAGCTAGCTAATGATGTGTTTCATGAGAGAAAGAAAAGAATTTGCTTAGCATTACAAAATTTTGGAAAATCCTTAAAGCTAGACTGGTTGCATATCTTTGTTCATAGATGAAGAAACTCAAATTCAGAAACATGAAGTAATTCCTCAAAGTTGATTTTCCAATGCTTGTGAGGGGTCATTGTTTCTTCCTAGGAGACCCTGTGCATTATCTCTTTTTAGCATTACATTTGATCTTCCTTCATTAGACTATGAGATTTAGAAGAACTGAGCGTATGTCTAACCCCAGAATTTGGTATGGATGTTTACCCATGGTTGTTGTTGCCGTGTGCCATTGAGGCCATTTCAACATACAGTGACTCGGTGTGACTGAGTAGATCTACTCCATAGAGTTTTCTAGGCTGTAATAAGTACTCTGTAAGAATTTGTATGGAATCCTGGTGTGGTGCTGTGGGCTAATACGTCAGACTGCAAAGCCATTTGAACTGCAAGGTTGGTGGTTCAAGCTCACCAGTCGCTCCTTGGAAACCCTATACAGGGTCACTATGGGTTGGAATTGACTTGACAGCACTTAACAACAACAACAACAACAAAGAATTTGTATAAGGATGGGAGGCAGGAAAGGAGAATGGAGAGAGAGAAAAGGAAAGAGTTGGCCCAAACTTAGTAGTTTGATTTATCACCAGTAAACATGACTGTTAACAACATTTGAGACCCCAAACCTAGCAATAAGGGGTACTGTGGAACATGAGTCAGGGAGCTTCTCAGAGCTCCTGAGATGGTGTATGCTTTTCCCTCCTTTTCTGTTTCCTCCTTGATCCATGGGATAAATCGAGCCACAGACACAAACATACCAGGCCTTCCCTTGGAGCCAGATCTTATGCCCCAGCTGAAGACACCCACTTGGAAGAGCCTCTTGGTTCCATGTGTAGTACAGACCATAGGTGCCCCACTGTCTCCCTGGGAATGAAAAGATTAAAAAAAAAAGGATTCATCTGAAAATGATCAAAAATACCCTCAGTGATTACATTAGAAGGTTCCGGATAGAGTAGGAGAAAATGTGATACAAAACTCAAGGTTATAAAAAAGACCAGGCTTACAGGTCACAAAGAGACAAGAGGAACCTGAGTCTATAGCATTTGACCACCCTTCAGGCCTGGAACAGAATTCATAGTCGTAGGCCAATGTTCAACCAAACATGGATAGGTATATTAACGGAGACAATAGTGAAGTAGGTTCATCATGGAATGATCAACAATTGATGATCAAAAGAGTGACATTTACTTGGTGACAAGGTACAGAGGGATTGGAAAGAAGGTTGGAATGGAAATAGGAAGCACAGGGAGGAAGTGTGATAACTGTTGTTGCATGGAGGGGATTGCAATCATTGAGATGAGACAAAGTGTGTGATTTGTTGGATACAAAGCTGATGAGCTATGCTTGATGATATAAACTTCACAATAAAATTTCAAAAATTTAAAAATCACCCTCAGCAAAAGGATAGTGAGAGGAGGGTAGTGATGTGAACCAGGGGTTTCCTTACTGGGCAATCTCTTAGGAATCTAGAAAGTGGTTGTGGTAGTGAAGGCAGGTGTGAGGGAGGAACTAGGGCAAGGGCTGAGTACCTGGCAATTTCCCTTGGTGCCTGGTTGTTTCCAGGCACAAAGCATGTTCCTGGAGAGCTGGTCCACCCTCTTGCTGCATTCTCTCCGGTTAATCTGCACCACTCTCAGCTTTTGCAGGTATATGTCTAAATCACCATATTTGTTTGGCAAAATAGGGAAGCCAATGTGAGAATGAATACTGTGTCAGACACTGAGAGTGATGAACCCACAAATAATCAAGGTTGAAGCCCTGGAAGACTTCAAAAGCAAATCACAAACTCAAAGGGAAATCTACTAGAGAAGAGATTGGAAAGGCACTCAATCTCATCTCTAGTATCTTCAATAAGTGTTTACTTCATCTCTGCTTTTATATGTCTCCATTTGGGAAGCTCACTCTTTCAGGAAGTAGCCTATCAAGCCCCAACCCTCAGCCTATTTCAGGGGAACCATCACAAACTGTCTCCATGGTTCCTCCATGGCCATGCTTTGTCCTTTTTGTAAAGAGAACCTGACCTCTGAGCAGTGGCATCCTGTGTCTCAGCCAGTCCGTATGGAATAAAACAGGAAAATTACACACTTGGAAGTGACATCTTGTAGAAAGAAAATCACCATGATGATAGAGGACCTTCTCCCCACTCTACTTTCCACCCACCCTGTTGTTCTCATTGACTGATGAGTAACGATTGTTGGTGAGGAATGAGTGGCTTAGAGCCATCTCAAGATGGGAGTCTACATCTTCAGGTACAAACAGCAGGATAGTCAAAATTGACTTCCTATTGATCTTCTTAGACCCTTAAAAATTAGCATTGCTGTCATGTTTTGAGATTCTACTATGTTCCAGGCATTTAATGGAGACCTTGCTTATGTTATTTAGTTGTGGGAGATATTGCTGTCATTTTATAGATAAGAAAACCAAATCTCAAGAAGGCTAATAGGCTCATCTGAGATCACAAAGCTAGAGCCAATACTAGACCCAAGCATTCTTGTAGTAAAAGCATTATGCTGTCTAGTCCAGGGAAACCTAAACAGGGAACTTCTATGGGTTACAAAGGGAAGGTACATACCATATTCGTGAGCTGTTACCCACTCTAACATCCAACACCGGTCCCAGGCCCACTCCTTCTCTTGCAGGCAGATAGGCATTTTGAAGTGAGTGAATTGTATTGGTGTGGCAAGAAGGAGCAGCGAGAGATCACTGTCAAGGTGGGGTGGTTTATAGTCTTTGTGAATAACTATCTTCTGCACTCCCTTTCTCTCCAAGCTGACATCATTTGGCTTTCTGGCTCCCATGACTACAGTCACATTCTCTACTTGCATTTCTAATCTAAAAGATTAAATATATAATAACACCAGTGCTAATGATAGTTATACTGTATTTCACATTTGTAAACACATTTGCAAACATTTGAATTTACTACTGAATACTGAGATGTTCAAAGTAGTGGTAGTATGGTGGCCTGGAGAGTGACTAGAGAGATAAGATAGGCAGGAGTTAGGGAACAGGACTCAGGAAAGTCTCCGATCCTGTCAATTCCAGGCCAAACGAAGTGTAATGAACCCATCAAAGGGAACAACATGCAAATTTTGATGACATGGAACTTGGCTGTCTTGTCTACTGCTCTATCCCCAAGTTAAACAGCTCTTGGTATTCAATGAGTGTGTGTAGAATGAATGGATATAATGTACTGTCTGCATATACAAACGACAAGCAGGAACTGTTATACTGATTTTCCAAAGCTGGTGGACATTAGGCTATGGATAACAAAGTAAAGGGGAGATACTGATTGTATAGCAGAGACTTGGAACAGAATGGCTGCAGAGCCCATGATTTCTTAAGTCTTTTGTGCCAACCAATTAAGCTAACCAACCCAGACAATACATTGGAGAGACATATTGTAATGTAAGACAATGTCTCAGAAACTTACAGGGTTCTTTGGAAGCAATGTGCAGCTGTCAGAACCCACCACTGATGTATAATTGAGCCTCCACAAAGGTGTTTCCGAGAGATCTGGATACTCACTTGCCATGGAAACTCACCTTTCTGGACTTCAAATAATTCATAAAATTGTAACCATGATGAGTTTGAAAAGCCAGGTCTGTAGCCACATTGAACTTTTTCTGAAAGAAAAAAAAAAAAAAGGTGCTATTTGTACGTGAGAAGATCGGAGAAAGCCTACTTATCCTGTATTCTCGGCTAAATCTACTGCTGCAGTTTGAATGAAGTAAAGTGAACAGAACTGGCAGGATAAACATAAGAAAACATAACAAAGCACACATCCTTTAGTGTCTAAGTCTCACCTTCAAAAAGTGGTCTGTGGAAATCAGTGAAGAGCTTCATCAGAAACATGTAGGAGTGTGGACAGCAGAGGAGAGGCACCAAAGATGTGCAGCATCAAACAGGAGACAGAAACCACACATTATTTGAACAGGGAATGTTTAATTTAAAGAATTGTATACTATAGCAAGTGGGGAACATACTAGGGGAGACTAATTAGAGAAGGAACATAGTAAGGGATAAGGAAGATATAATCGAGGAAAGCAATGAAAATGAATTTAAAATGAAGAATCAAAAGCATGAAAGGTTTTTGTGTGAACGTGTCTCCATTTATTTATGATAAATATATAGATTGGAACTAGTTCATATGGTTGTTGCTGATGTTAAGTGCTGTTAAGTCGGTTCTGACCCATAATGACCCTATACAGGGTTTCTGAGGAGCGACTGGTGAGCTTGAACCACTGGCCTTGAGTTCATATGGTTGGTGTGTGTTTATTTATGAAACTGTCAAATTGATTTCCAGTGAAGTTGCACAATTTGCAGTCCCACCAGCAATGTATGGTAATTCACATTGTTTCATATCTTTGCTAACACTTGGTTTTACCAGTATTTTTTACTTTAACCATTTTAGTATGAGTGTGTGTAGCAGAACTATTTATTTCCCCAAATTGGAAACTTCATTTCTCATACTTAGGCTATACAGTCATGAGGGACCAGTCCCTGGATAAGGACATCATGATTGATAAAGTGGAGGGTCAGCAAAAAAGAGGAAGAATCCTAACGAGATTGATTGGCACAGTGGCAGGAACAACAGGTTAAAGCATAGGACTGGGCAGTGTTTAGTTCTGCTGTGCATAAGGTCACTATGAGTCGGAACCAACTCAACAAACGGGAAGCAGCTCAAATGCTCTCCACTAGGTACATAGGCAAAGAAACTGCAATACATCCATACAATAGAATACTACTCTGCAGTAAAGAGGAGCTAACTATTGACAGTCCGTGAGAGAGGTGAAGAGGTGTGGTCTGGGCCAGAGACACTGGAGATGAAGAGATGAAGATGGATATTTTTTTTAATTATCCATGACTGGCTGTATCTGGAAGACAATGGGCGGGAAGAGACTAGAATGACTCCCAGGTGTCTGACTTGAGCATCTAAGTAGATGGGGGTACCATTCAATAACAGAGAGAATATAGTAGAAGGAAGTTAGCACCTAACAATATTATCTGCTAACTGAAACTTATAGCCTCTTGTTTTGATTTCAACACTTAATCTATATTAAAGCTATTTGAAGCTTGTAACCATTAATTTATATAACATCATTATGCTAATTACCATCAAACTGATACTTCTCTCTGCCTACTTCCTGTCCTGGTGTGGTGCTGTGGGCTAATGTGTCAGACTGCAAAATCGTTTGAACTACAAGGCCGGTGGTTCAATCTCACCAGCTTCTCCTTGGAAACCCTATAGGGTTGCTATGGGTCAGAATTGACTTAACGGCACTTAACAACAACAACAACAACATTGTTAGGTTCTATTGAGTCAATTCTGATTGACAACGATCCCATGCAATGAGTAACATGGTGGTTTTTTTAGGCTGTAACCTTTACAGGGATGGATTGCCAAGTCTTTCTCCTACAGAGCCTCTGGGTAGGTTCAAACTGCCAAGTGCTTAAACATTACATCACCTGAGTTCCTACTAATTAATAACAGACCATTAATAAAAATCTCTAAGGAGTCCTGGTGTGGCACTGTAGGATTAGCACTGGACTGCTAACTGCCAGGTCAGTGGTTCAAACCCACCTTGGAAACCCTATATAGGTTCACTATGAGTCAGAACTGACTCAACAGCATTTAATAACAACAAGGCAAAGTAACTATTGGTACCAGTAATTTGAGGAGATAAGATAGTTATATGTATTTATGAATGACACATGTCTCATTAACCTGAATTTCTGATGAAATCTTTTTACTAAGAGAATCATGGTACTTCCTATATTATTTTGCCATAATTTCAAGGGCCATTGATTGGAGTGCTGAAATGGAATGTTGGCTAAAATGATCTATATATGTTAGAGTGCTATAGAAAATTGTGATACCTTACTCAAAGCTATTGAATTCTGTATATATGTGCAGGTTGTACATTTGCAACCTTGTGATAATTAAGCTACTGACCATGCTTATTTCTAATGGCCTCAATGAAGAACTGATGTAAGGCATTCCTCCTGAAGATTTTTCAACTAAAACAAGTGATTCAAAATAGTGAAGATATTACTGATGAAAGCCATGGAATCGGCAAACTTTTCTAGGTGAACTGTGTAAAGCAAGGTCATAAACTTAAAGTCCTACCATAGTTGGACATGGCAGAACTAAAGTCAATTCTATAGCACAACTCTTGATTTCTCCTGTCTGGAGGAAAGAAGAGTGAAGAAAATCAAAGATGCATGGAAACAATTAGTCCAATGGATTAATGGATCATGACTGGAAAATCCAATTTCATTAAAATATCACTACACCTTTACATCCACCACTCATCTGTCAGTTTGTCATACTGTGGCAGCTTCCATGTTACTGAAGCTATGCCACAGGTATTTTAAATACTAGAAGGGCCACCCATGATGGACAGGTTTCAGCTAGCTCCCAGACTAAGACAGACTAAGAAGAAGATGAGGCTGATTGCTTCTGAATGTTCCACTGAAAACCTGATGAATAGCAGCGGAACATTGTCAGATATATTGCCAGAGGATGAATTCCCCTGTTGGAAGGCACTACTGAGAAAGAGCTGCCTCCTCAAAGTAGAGTTGACAGTGATTATGGGAATGGAGTAAAGTTTTGCGGACTTTCATTTGCAGATGGGCCACAACTCAAAATGAGGAGAAACTGCTGCAAACATCATAATAATCTGAACATGTAGGAAACATGAATCTAGGATAATTGAAAATTATCCAAAAATAACATGGAATGCATAAAGACCCATGTCCTCGGCATTAGTGAGCCAAAATGCACTTGTACTGGCTATTATGAATTAGACAATTGTACGGTTTGCCATGCCAGGAAAGACAAAGTCAAGAGAAATAGTATTTCATTCATTATCAAAAAGAGTATTTTAACTATCTTGAAGTACAGTTCTGGCTGTGATAAGATAATATCCATACGCTTACAAGGAAGACCAATTAATATCGCTATTGTTCAAATTTACACACCAACCACTAAAGCCAGTGATCAAAAAATTGAAGAATTCTACTAACTTCTTTAGTCTGAAATTGACCACACATGTAAACAGTATGTACTGATAATTACAGGTGATTCAAATGAGAAGGTTGGAAACAAAGAGTAAGGATCAGTAATTAAAAAATATGGCCTTGATGATAGAAATGGTGCTAGAAATCACATGATAGAATTTTGCAAGACCAATGACTTCTTTGTTGCCAATATTTTTTTAAACAACATAAAAATGACTATCCTCATGGACTTCACAAGATGAAATATACAAGAATCAAGTTGACTACATCTGTGGAGTGGAAAATCTCAATATCAACAAACAAAACATGATCAGTCACCGACTGTGGAAGACACCATCAATTGCTCATATGCAAGTTCGGGCTGAAGAGGAAAAAAATTAAAACAAGTTCACAAGAACCAACTTATGACCTTGAACATATCCTACCTGAATTTAGAGATCATCTCAAGAATAGATTTAATGCATTAGACACTAGTGACTGAAAATCAGAGGTGGTGTGAGATAATATCGAGAATATCATACTTGAAGAAAGCAAAATGTCATTAAAAGACAGGAAGGAAAAACAGACTAAAATGGATGTCAGAAAAGACTTTGAAAATTACTTTTGACTGTAAGAAGCTAAAGTGAATGGAAGAAATGAGGAAGTCAAAGAGCCGAAGAGAAAAATTTTAAAGGGTAGTTTGAAAAGACAAAAAGTATTATAGTGAAATGTGCAAAGGCCTGGAATTATAAAACCAAAAGGGAAGAACATGCTCAGCATATCTCAAACTGAAAGTGCTGAAGAAAAAAGTCAAGCCTTGACT